CCTCCTGCCTTCAGATGGGGCTGATGCTGCACTATGGAATGTCTGTGTGGGGGAAGAAGCCACCAGCGAGGATTTTGCCCCTTTCTACCCATGTGCCAAAGAGTGGGGCTCTCACACAGGATCTTGTGTGACTGGAGGAGACATCACGGGATAATCCTGGATGAGGGGAGGTAAAGGTTTCTTCAGGCTTCTGCATCACTCTGTGCCTACCCAGGACGTTTCATGTGTCTGTCACTAATGGGGTCACCCTTCCCTTGGAGGATGCCATCAGAGCTGCCTGAGGACCTGGGAAGAGCAGGTAGACGCTGGTTGGGGACTCTGTGGCTGGGTGTTGGAGGTGGTCAGTCCTGTCCTTCTGGCACCCTTCTGCTGAGCCAGGTCATCCACTTACCTGGGGCACAGGCAGGAGAGGGCTGCTCCTGGGCCCTGGGAAGGGATTTCCTTCTGCGTGGGCACACAGGATGGTGCAAGGGCAGCTCAGTGTTACCACACAGACCCCATCCTTGCTTTTGTAGGCACAGGCTTTCTAGGAAGCAGCATTTCTTCCTAGAGAGAGTAAAGCTCCGGGAAGAGTTGAAGACCCTCAACTTGTGCCTCCCCTGGGCACAAGAAGAGGAACCTCCACCCTGCTCACCTGTAAGCCCTGTTTTAGCCACGAGGTTAGAAAACCAACACGGATTTGTTGAGGCTGATGCGGGCTGGGTTAAGTTCCATCACTATCAACAAGCCCTCAGTACCTCGGGGGTGTCAGGAGGTGCAAACACCCTGTTCTCCTCCACAGGTGTCCAAAAGCCCAGGCTGTTGCTATGCAGCATGACTGAAGCCTGCAATCCCATGGTGGGTCCATGTGAGAACTGCTTGCACAGTCCCAAAGAGTGACAGCAAGAAGTGATGCTCTCCTGAGAGCTCTAATAGCACACATCCTTCTGTAACCAACTCACGCACCACCAGTGGCCCAGTGAGACCAAGAGCCAGTTCTGTTCTCTTTTCTCTTATCAAGTTGGCCTGGTAACAGGGAACAATTGGGAATAATTTGTCTCTGGAAAATGAAGCCCATGTTCTGTTGGTGTTCTTTTGTTCAGGGCTTGTACCTACCGATAGTGCAGAGGCTTGTTGGAAATGTGGTCCTAAATGGGCAAAAGCCCAGCTGGTGGGGTAGGACTTGGCTGGGGGCATTTGAAGCAGACCCAAGTGTAACTGAGTGAGGCTGAAGTTGACTTGTAAAGAAGGTGCCCTCTCGCTTTGCTCCTTCTTTCATCGTGCTCTAATTAATCTCTGTAGCCAAACTGGTAGGTGTGATTGGCTGGTTGCATTAGGGAGGCATAGCAGGGATCAAAAGATCTTGATGTGCCTGCTCTGAGCAGCTCAGTTATCTGGTAGACTGTAGGTAAGGGGGATTTGTCAGATGGAAGGGTAATTTGCTCCTGATGGACGGGAGTTCTGATTGCTTGCACTGCATCGGTGTTAATGGAGCCAAAGCCTGAGAACTCGTCCTTTCAAGAGCTGCTCTCCTGCACCCGTTCGTGTTGATGTTTTGGAGGCTACAGGCCACAGTCTCCCTGGAAGGCAGTGCCCTGAGAGCTGGGTGATGGTTCACAGCAAAGCCAGAGCCCCTCGCTCAGATGGGATCTGATGGTTGCAGGGAGAGGCCTGGTCACAGGGTGGACAACGCTGCATCACACTGATGCAGGGGTAGGGGGCTGATTTGGACAATGTGCCACAGGGAACACCTCAGACCTTCGGCTTAAAACTGGTTCTGGGCCAGGACACAACTTCAGGGCAAGGTCAGGCGTTTCCTTGCATCCATCCATGGGTGTGTGTAGGGGCAGGGAGCTCTGTAAAACCTGTGTCAGACTAAGCCAGCACGGCCCCCACATCAAACCCCTCTCCAGAGAAGAGAGAGGTCCTCTCTGCCCACCACTGTTCAATGCCAGCCCCATCACAGCAGGGTGGTGACAGCTCAGTTCTTTGCTCTCTCCACAAGGAGACCATAATCCACAGAAAGAGATCTTTGCAAGCCCCAACCTCCTCCTGTGGCAGAGTGCTGCTGCGCCAGCCCTGCTGGAGGTGGGAGATGGAGCCACCTTCTAGCATCTCTGAGAGGGGCTCCTGCTTGGGCTGCCTTCCAGATGTGGAGGCCTCATTGCAAGGAGTTGTTTCAATGGCCAAATTCTAACAAACCCAGATGGAGCTTTCTAGAAAATGAAGATTTGTTTTCAAGGCCCTCTGTTGCCTCGTGTTGCACGCAAAACCAGGACAAAACCTACTGGTGTTTGCAGATGTAAATGGGCTGTCAGAGGTCCCCAAGTCATTGCCAGTCTGAGCTCAGCTGCTCTGCTTTTACCATTAACAGAAAGATTTAAGTATTTTTTCAGACAGGATGGGACCAGAGCCATGATGCTACTACAAATGTCTTTGTTGCCCCTTCATCAGAGGAGCTCATTGCACCTCATAAACTCTCTTCCATGATGTTCCTCCTTCCGAGAGGATGATGTTAGTGCTATTTATGAGGGGGAGAAGAAACCAAGGCACAACAGTTCTGACTTGTCCAGAGCTGCAGAAGAAATCACAGCGCTGCTGGAAATAAACCCTCCAAGTTTCCTTCCAACCCCTGACACCAAGCATGAGGTCCCAGCACCTAACCAATTGTGCACGTGGGCCAGCAGGGGAGCAGGAGGTGAGGAGCAATGCATGCGGGCTGCTGGGACAACCATGCCTCAATGAAAGGACTCGTCAACCCAGGGCTGATGCTGCATCTTTTTATTTTCTTTTTTATTTTGCTTCACTAAGCAAATGCAGAGCCAGGGATAGGAGGAGAGGAAAGGGTGGCTTGAAAAAAAGACCAAACCAGAACAAAAAGAACAAAAACCAGGAGGGAAGAGGCAGCTGCTGGAGTATAAGGAGAAAGTGAGCTGCTAACAAGGAAGAAGTTCGTAGATGCCAAGCCCGCACTAATTCTTAATAAAATACAATACTGAAAATAGGATCTGAGAGTCTCCAAAATACAATATCTTAAGGGATCGGCAATAATACAAAATAAGGTTCATTATGTACAAACGAGTTCTGCTCTTGTCTCTGTACAACGTGGGAGTGGGAGGCACGGGGACATGCTCAGTGGAGGTGGCGGGGTGGAGGAGGACGTGCTTGGACCCTGCAGTGGTTCTTTGTGCTGGGGTGAAGGATGGGGAGTGCAGTGGTATCTGCTGACCAGTGGGTCCTGTGGGAACCTCAAGAAGAGCAGAGCTAT